AAAAACAGTGAATGCACGATGCATACGTTTCCTTTGGTTCCTCCAGTTTGAATATATGCACAGTTTCTGTATTACTAGAACAACAGAGCCACATGGAGTCCATACTGAAAGAAAGACTGTTTATCGTGACGCATCTCTTAACTCCGCGTCGAAATTCGAATAATTTTGTACCCTCGTGGACCTATAAAAATAAACAATTGTTGCGATTATAGCAGCAGTTATGAATAAAATATAGCTACTCTATTGTGTCTACTAGCTACTTACGTCAAAGACTCTAATAACGGTGCCCTTTTCGGAAGCTGTCGCCACTTTGGTGCCAGTCGAGCTGAATGCAATTGCAGCCAGTGGACTATCATGTGCAGGTATCATTGTTTTTGCTTGCTGTATTATTGAAAAACATAAGTCGTTAAAATGTTAATTTTTAATACGCCAAAGATTTTACTGATTTATTCGTTTAAAATACGTACAAGATGGTTCGCATCAAATATTTGAACTTCCCCGATTGTATTCGATCCTGGATAAGCTACATAACAATTATCGCTATTTGGAGAAAGTGTACAAAGGCCTGTAAGATTAGGAGGAGTGTCGCGAATTGTGTGTAACACTCTCATATCTCGTATATTATGAATGTATAGCGACTCTTCCAGACACACCACCAATCTCTAAAATAAGCGATACTTTAGTATATCGAAGATTATAAAAAAACATTAAACATGTAAAATATAATCAAAGCTTTATTTATTTTACGGTAAAATATTACATATAATTTTATAATTAAAAATATGTGAGAACTATTATAGGATATACAAATTCAGAATTTAAAAAGCAATTAGTTCATATATAAACAGAGGTTTAATTTAAATTCAATTCAAGCTCTGTTTAACATTGTTGAATAAACCTCTATGCTAGTAGTTGATTAATAAGTAAAAAGGGACTTATAATCCCTTTCTATATAAATCATGATTGTAAATTATAAAAAGGATTTTTTTTTTACATAAGATTGTTTTCATATTTGAGGTAAAGGCGCGAATTAGGTTCTGTATTATTGTACTATTGAAAAAGAAAAGAATGTAAATATAAAAATTTGAATAACTTACTGCTCTGTTCAGTTTCACAGCCAAAATTGTATTCGAGTAACTGTAATTGCATATCTCTGTTCCTTTCCTAAAGTGGCACACCGTAAGCGTACGTGGCGATTTAAGACTCACGATCGCCACCAAACTGCTACTAAACAATCGCTCAACGATACATATATCCTCAAAGTCTGCATCATCTCGAAAAAATGAAATATTCTAATTAATAACATCAAAGACTTCTATTCAAACTGGTCATTTAATTTCGTTTAACACATCGATATGACGGTCATTCAGCGCCTAACTTTTTAGTAGTGCTTGTAATAAATAAATACCATTTAATATAAAGATTATTTTAATTATATAAATAACTTTCTATATTATATATAAATAATATAGATAACAATGTAAAAAGTACACAGTATATCACATTATCTATGAGCATATAAACTTATTTAATCATGTTATGCAATACATTAACATATGCCTACAATAATGAAAATTCTATCGTGGCGTACATGGTAAGATATATAAAACTCACTAGATAGACGATGTGTTAACGTGAGATAAAAAGCTACAAATATCTTTGACATAGAAGATATTTATAACATTTTTATCTCACTTATCATTTATTATTGTTTTATTAATCATTATTCTATCAGTTATTTTAAGTTACAAGATATTGAGATAGAATACAGAAAAACTAATTATTACCATTTTCATATATTTTCTCAAGATGTCCTGCGGAGCTGATAGAATAAAGTTTATATCCTGACTTTGATCCGACTGCTAAGGACCTAAAATAAAAAATTTTATTAAAAATGTATTCAGATAGCAATATGTCAAAAACTGAAGTATAAGACGTTTTAAAGACATCATTAAGGTCAATATTCATTGTTGATTCTTATATTTATGACTGCTTTAAGTACAGTCTTAAGATGTCACATACCAATCATAAAATCATATTGGCATCTTATGAATAACATTATAAGTAATATTACTTAAGACGGTTTTGAAATAAGAATAAAATGTGAATACCTAAGACATCTTTTAAACGTCATATTATAAGACAGATTAAGATATCCTTAAAGATATCTTTAAGAAGTCTTTTATCTTCATTTTGCATACGCTGTTGCAAACCTACATTAGAAATTACACATACAATTAAATCTATCAAACATTCTAATAGAGATAATCAGAAGTTTACTTAAGATAACTAGAATTCTGATTTCTATGTGTGATCAGAATTAGATTTGTTTGTACTTCTTGTTGATGCAACTATTACATTTTTTTTCCAGTGAATCTTTCTTTTCTTTTATTTAAAAAGATGTGATAATATTTAAAATATAGACTCAAGTGTCTTCAATATGTATTGTATACACACACAAGTATATACTCTTTGTTTGCTTATCTTCCATATTATTGTCATCGTTGCTGCGTGTGGGCAAATATCATATACAGAAAAAAATAACAGCAAACGATACGCAATCGCGCGAGGAGCAGGAACAGAGGATAAGTCCTTGGATAAGGCAAGCGGTAAGGCCAGATCGGGCAACTGGCTCGCGGCAACGCGATGCACGCGTACCGCTCGCGCGCCGGAGGTGCAATATTGCTATCTCCTCTCTCTCTCTCTCTCTCTCTCTCTCTCTCTCTCTCTCTCTCTCTCTCTCTCTCTCTCACTTCCCACTCACCGCGACGCGCGGGAGAACGCGCGCGAAGGTTGGGGTCCTTCTCGTTAACACGCAATTAATCGGTGAAAGGGGGAGCAGCGAATGACGCAGGCATAACGCGACGAAAACATCGCACGAGAAAAACATGGATCGCGAAGTCGCGCGACACGTAAACCTTGGCGCGAGGCGTACATTCGCTATACACATATGTACACATAATTTTTCAGCTATATATATATATATATATATATGTGTGTGTGTGTGTGTGTGTGTGTGTATTGAGAGTGAGAGAGAAGACAACACATCGAGGACAAACTGAGGTTAGGATCAGACAAAGGAGACGAGTAACGGAGGAGGCGGAGGCGGAGGAGAACAGGAGGGACGATTCCGCGGTTAGATAGCGGAATAAGCGACGTGCGAACTTACGTGCAGTCCTGATTGAAGTTAACGAAGTAGGGACCATTGCTCTGTGCGTCGGACGTCGTGTCGGACGTCTGGTTGGTTGCGAGGTTCATGAGTCCTGATATGCTGTACCTCAAGCCTTGCGTTAATACATCCAGATTGATCTCGCGCGGGATCTCTCGCATAAATCTCGGTAACACGTGTGCGTAGCTGTACACCCGCGACACACACACGCTCTATCGAAAACTCTTCTTCTCTGTTTCACCCTCGGTGCAGCGCGCGTACCTCTCCCCTATCACTGCGTGATGACTGTTTCACACCCCCGCTTATAATGTCCGGTCCCGCTCGCGCCCGCTTCTGCGCGCGCAGATACGAAAAGGACAAGCTCGCTCGCCCTACTGATTGCTCTTGAAGGCTTGGTTTGGTTTTGGCTGACTCTTCTGAATGTGTCCGACAACGGCCGACTCCTACAAGTGACTGTACTTCACTATCGTTCCATATTGAACAGCTGACAGTCGCAGCTGCTGGTCGGAACAGCGGAACGCGAAACATCAGTCCGCGCGTTCCGTATGTTCCGTGTTGCCATGGCGACGCGCCGGTCTTCCTCCTTCTCCTCCCACTGCAGATTGTATACGGAGTTTGTTTACAAGGTGCTTTTCGCGCCATATGTGTGGAAATTCGTGGGAATTCACGTAAAAAAAGGGCAAGGGAAAATGGAGTCTTCTTATGTTCTATATGCTTTTTCTTACATTTATTGTGTCTTTCTCTTTCTCTCCCCAAAAATCTAGACTACAATTCATGTTATATAATAATTACTTACCAATTTATAATGAAACTAACAGTGCTCTAGTGAACAATAAAATGAGGGAGTATTATTTTAACTTTTCGGTTGTTTTTTTATATTTTGCATATAAAAACGCTATTAATTTTACATTACGCTTTTTTACATTTTGTTCTTCGTTTAGGCTTAAAATATTATTCTAATTCTCTTTCGCAATTAATTATTTTGTTATAGATATATAATTATGTGTCCCATGATAGAATTGTATATCGCGAAAACAAATTAGAATATTCTATAAGCCTGAAAAAACAAAATATTAAAAAAGCGTAAGGTTAAATACGTTTTGATGCAAAATATTTAAAAAAACACAACAGAAAAGACCAAATAATGCTTCCTCAATTCATAGAATACTGAGGAATTACCCACCGAAAATATTCGTGGCTACATAGTTCAACGTGCATGCTTTGTACACATAGAGGCGCCACTAAATGTGCTCCAGCTGAAAAAAAAATTAGAGCTTGAATTGTCCAAAAATTGTCTGTGATCGGAGTTGGAATTGGTCGGAATATTCAAGCAGATACGAAATACAGCCAAATACCGCTATCAATTGTTATGGCAGTCACGTTTCTCAGAGTAAAAGAGGCCAAGTTTTGTAAAAATAATATGTTTGACGTATCGTACTCGAAGATGTTAGCTGATTTATCGATTCTTTAACGTGTTTGACAATTTAGCCGAAAAATGATTTGTATTTTTCGGTATAATCTCCGCAACCAATTCATCGAGAGTTTTTATGTAACACTAAATTGAGGTCTAAATTACTTATGTGAAAGGCTTCATAAAAGTGAGAAAATATAATTATATCTGCTCACATCTCAATTTTTTATGAAAATTAGATATTGAGTTTTTGTGTAGAGATAAAAAGTGTTAAATTAAAATATATACGTACTTGTACTGATAATTATAATACATATATTTATGTTTTGTAAAGAAATATATTTATATATTGGATTAATATCTACATTTTAATTCCTATCATATAACAGTTATGACAATAATTGCCCTCACATATTTCAGATAAATTTAATGATCCCATGGGTACGTGATCAAATAGCAGAAGCCTGGCACAACAGAAAAAGTTCAAGGGCAGCTGACAAGCGGTCCTTGGCTGTTTCTTCTGTCAGCTCAGGCAATGCTACAAGCAATAACACTATGCTTACACCATTACCTACCTCACCTGAAAACTTTTCTATCAACGTTATCAGGTTTGAATTTATGTTTATATCATAGAAATTTTAACAAATCTTATTAGGTGTTTAATTATCATTAAATTCTTTTATACAGTATGGAAGGTAATGTCTTAGATGTTGCAATAAAACCAAACTTTACTGTGGGAAATATTAAGAAAATAGCAGTGGTACATTTTTATGGTCAAGATACAATAAAATCCATCTCAAGCTATCGCTTAGTTCATTCAACTAAATTTATACAGCTTAAGGATGAAAATTATGTAAGCGACGAGGATATCAATGAATGTGGTATAATTATTTATATTAAGCTATTTTTAGAGAGATTTATAATATAATTATTTTCTTAATTAATTTTTAACTTGTATTACATACTTATGTTGTTTTAATACAACAAGTTGTTATTACAGATGAGTTATTATTAGTAGAAATACGATCATCTGTACAAGAAGATTTTTCGGATGAAGCTCTTAAAGGTCCAAGTTTAGAAGCAATAGCTCAAGCTACAAGTGATCTACCTAATGTACGAAATCCACCTAAGCCTGTGCCATCTACAGAATGCCCTGCAGATGTAAATATATATTTTACATGTTCATACTTCTGTTTACGCTTTTGAGGCTTTCACGGGTATTTTCTTCAATTATATCAGAAGGTTTGCGGGTCTTTCTTCATTATTAATGCCAACGTTTCGTGAACCATGCCGTTCATTTCATCAGGGCGAAGGGTGCATTGATATTGATACTAAGCTGCTACCCTTTATGTTGACACTGTTGGGAGGGGAGGGGGGGGTGTATGTTGAGATGCATACTTCTGTTTATTATATTATTTCACATCTTCACTGTTTCTTATAGTTCCAGAATGAAATTCGTAAGATTTTAATAACCCTTGTACAAGCATCTGCAAAGATCTTGATGTACAGTCCTTATGCTGAAAAATTGTATGACGATATTAAGGAAAAACTTGAAGCTAGGTGTAATCCTATTAATGATCCAAAAATCGTAAAAAATCTTATAGAAATGGGTTATCCTCACAAAAAAGTTCTCAAAGCATTATGTCTTCGAAAGCAAGTATCAACGTTTCTATCACATATATTTATTACTTATATATACGTAATACATTTGTGAATAATACTATGGAAATATGCCTTTGTTTTAGATCGAATATGACAGAAGCTTTAGAATGGCTTATAGATCATCAGGATGATTCAGATAATGATTCAGATGATGATTCAGATTTCTTATCCATGGATACAGACATAGATATTGCGAATCCTAGTTCTTCAATGAAAGCTAAGAAAAAGTCATTTAAAGATGCATGTTTGGAATTGTTCAAAGGTAATTCTTAAACAAAACTAAAATTGTGTTATTGTTTCGAAGATAATTCAAATTGAAAGCAATAAAACATTTGAAAAAGGATAACATCAGATTATTAAAAATATCTTAACTTTAGAAAAACAAGATCAAGAAGAAAAAAATCTGGTATATATCGTAGAATTATTATTACATAGTTTTCGACAATGGAAGAAAATGGAATTTAAACCTAATAAGAGAGCAACGCGATCGCTTGTAGAAATGGGCTTTGAAGAGAAAAATATTCTAGTAGCATTAAAAGTTACTGGGAATGATCAGGCTAATGCTGTAAGTTGTTATAGTTGTACTAAAGATATAGATTCAAATTATATCTTCTTATATTTCTTTTAAGTTTTATATATCTTGTGACACAGTGTGAATGGTTGCTGGGAGAAAGAAGACGTAGTTTACAAGATTTGGACGAAGGTCTCGAAACCGATGGTCCAATTTATAATGCAATTATGAGTAATCCTCATATTCAACTTAGTCTTACAAGACCAAAGATGTTGCTTGGTAAGGTAAAGCAATTAAGAAAATGTAATAAATTGGAATTATATTTTTTTAAATTTTTTCTTATTTCTTTCAGCATACTTATCAATGATAGAAACACCTGCCTCGGCAAATGTATGGATTAACGACCCTGAAATTGCACCTGTGCTTAACCAAATATCCAAGACATATCACACTGAAAAACATGCCATTCATATGAATCGTTATACCTAATATTATGGTAATACTTATTTGTATCTCTGTGGAATATTCATATTTTTATATAAATTTATCAATAATTTTTGCAGAGATTTGGAATATTAATTATCGGTTAACAATCAGTAATAATTATTGTAATTTTGATTATGTTATATATAATTAAATTACATATAATTATGATTATAATTACTATAAGTACTTTAATTAATACAAGTAATTATAATTATAATCAGCGCTAGTTATAGAAAGTTAAAGAACGCTATTATATTTACGAAAATCTCATGTGATATCTCTAACTCAATATAATATACTATCAATCACGTATAATTTTCTAAACACACTTGCTTTTGTATAAATTGCCTGTTAATAGTTCTTAGAGAAAGGACATGTATTTTAATATATATTAAAAAAAGAATTGTTGTTGTAATATAAATTCTTATAATAAAAATTGAATTCCATTCTGCAAATCGAAAACTAGTTAATACCAATATTATAAATTGTATACCAATATTATAAATATGATAAAATATAAAATTGTAAATTAGATTGCCGTTCTAAATTTCGGTCTATAAAATAAATATATTTGGTTATTTTATATATATATATATATATTTATTTATTTATTGCAAATTATTGCGTTTAGTCGGTAAAACAGATAACTTTAAGATTGCTTCAAATTATCTATATCCGACAGCGCCATCATCAGCATCAGGCCACCAGTCGTCAGTCGACCCAAGTCGACCGTCGACATTACAAAAGTATTTTTGACAGCTGATTTTGTTGCACGTGTTTTACTCGAAATTTTTGTTAATCATTGTTAATAATGGTTTACTATTTCACTAGCGAAGGTAATTTTTGCATTCCTCAAACGTTATTTTTGTTTAGGCGATAAATTATATATTTTCTTAAATTATTAATAATATTTTATTATATCTCATTAAGAAATCTGACTAATTGTCATATTCTGAATTGCAGTTGTGCAACCATCCATAACTTTGTTTATGGGAATAGATAAATTCGAAAGTAAGTAAAAAATTCATTTGTAATTATTCATCATAATTAATAAACACTTATGCATAATCTAAAACGTGATATATTGAATTCTGTTTGTATAGATGAAGATCTTATTAAATGGGGTTGGCCTGAAGATGTATGGTTTCATGTTGATAAATATTCATCTGCCCACGTGTATCTTCGACTTCGACATGTGAGTTCAATTATTAATCAGTAATTTTCTACTTTTGATATTAAAATGATAAAATAATTCTTTTTTAATTTTTTTGTAGGGTCAGACAATAGATGATATTCCCAGTACTGTATTAGAAGATGCCGCACAATTAGTGAAAGCAAATAGTATTGAAGGAAACAAAATGAATGATGTCGATGTTGTGTACACAATGTGGTCAAATTTAAAAAAAACACAAGGTATGGAAGTTGGACAGGTTGGCTTTCACAGAGATAAAGAAGTTCGTAAAATTCATGTTGCTAAGCGAATAAATGCTATCGTGAATCGTCTTAACAAAACAAAACACTCAGAGCAAGTAAACTTCAGAACTGAAAGAGAACAAAGAGATAAGAATGAACGGGAAGACAAGAAGAAGCTTTTGAGAGAACAAAAGGAGAAAGAAAAAGCAGAAGAAAAGCAACGTCAGGAAGAAACTGAGATAAGGTGAATAATAATTTCATAACAATACTTATTTAATAGAAGTATATATATCAAATACACTTCTACTAAATAAATAATATCAATTAAGTAATATTCTTTATAAAAAGTTATTAATAAAAAATTATCACTTTTCAGGAGTTATAATTCCCTATTTAATACATCTAACATGACTTCAAATACAGAAACCAGTGGATATGACTCAGATGATTTTATGTGATGAAGTTAACACTTATATTTTCAGTATGTGCCTCACTTTCTATTATTTCCAATAAAAGTAGAAAATTCCAGAATAAAAAGTGTAAAATATCTCTTTCAAGTACGATTATTTATTTGATTTATAATATTTTGCTAATATTGTACTTGCATATATATAATTTTGTAGAAATATGAAATTGTAGAATCACACACACAGTATACACTACGTTTGTTGTAGATTGCTGTGTCATTCAAAAAATTTTTAAAACATACTATGTAATCATAGTTATTATGCTATGCTGATGACAAGCAAGATTATTAACAGTTTTTGCATATTTACATATAATAGCTCGCAAGTACTTAAGTATATTGCTATAATTTCAACATAATGAAAAAGATAAATTATATAAATAAGATATAGGAATAAGTCATAAAAACGATGTAGACATAAATTTAAAAAAATGTATTATCTAGAGATGGATGTAGCAGTACAAATCAATAGTATCCTATTTTTATAATAGGGTAACATTGACAGCCTGCAAAGCATTAATTATCCATGTTGGATAGTCTTTATTCGGATAAACTGTCAACATATAATCCTGTATAAATCTAGGAAATCTTTGTTCTTTAATACTGTTTCTGATATCTCGCATGAGTTTCATTTGGAATGCAATATTGTGAACAGTTAATAGATGACACGATACTGTCTCCACAGTGGCAATTTGATGCAGATAAGCGCGCGAATAAGTCTTGCAAGTACTACATTCGCATGACTCGTCTATTGGTCTCAAATCTTTTTTATGTTGCATCTGCTTCAAATTAAGCTGCCCCGTTTTTATCAACGCGCAACCAAATCTCTGAAAGTTTCAACTTAATGTTTTAAATTTTCCATTTTCTATTTCTTTCAAATGTGTACTTTAAGAAATACTTACAGCGGTTCTTGTCGGAAATACACAATCATACATATCGATACCTAACGCACTGCATACGATTAAATCTACTGCGAATCCAACGCCCATAAGATATCGTGGTTTATTCTTTGGAAGAATATTCGTTGATAAGTGGACCATTTTCCAAAAATCATCTTTACTTTCACCGCCACTGAAATCATAAGAATCACTATTATTGTATTGTATAAGATTTTAATATTTCTGTATTATAGTTTCTGTATTATAGTTACACAATTTTTTATCAACTATATGTATCAGCAAATTTAGTATCTACCTCAAACCTCCTACAGCATACCCATTTACCTCTCGCTTAATTAATTGACGTGCGCATTCGGATCGTAGTTCGGGATTGAGACCACCTTGAACGATTGGAAATATACTCTGCTCATTTGGTCTTTCATGCACTGACAAACAACGGTCCAGCCAACGTATCGTTCTAAAATGGTTTGTGTTAAATAATACTCGTTTCAAACTGTTTAGAAAATATATTATTTACAAAATATGTTTATAAAAATAATTATACCTATACATTGCTTCTTCTACTCTTGGTCCGGTTAAAGTACTTTTAACAACATCGTCGAGCTGCATGATTATATCAGCTCCAATTGCATTTTGAATTTGAATAGAATGTTCAGGTGTCAACATACATTCAGATCCTATATGGAACATTATTGCAAACATTATTGTAGACCGATTAAATTATATATAAGTTATATTTAAATATATGTATTTAAAAATATATCTTTCTGACTATGTATATCATTGTACCATCATACGGTGATTTAAATTTGACACCTTCTTCTGTTATTTCAGCTAACTGTAATAATGAAACCATTTGGAAACCACCTGAATCCGTTAATAAAGCCCTTTTCCAATTCATAAATTTGTGCAAACCTCCAGCTTTACATAGAATATCTGTGCCCTGTGTGTCAACATAAAGTATATATTTTAATACAATCGAAATTACATTAAAAAATGTTTACTAAAATGAATCTAAAACTCTCGATAATATTGTTTTATCTAAATTAATCGATTTTTTTTTTCTAACAATACATGATTTCTTACAGGTCTGTTTCCAAGATGATAGGTATTACCAAGAATTATTTGGCAATCCAGTTGCTCCAGTTGTTGAGGCAGTAATCCTTTCAATGTTCCCTGATAATGCAATAACAAATTAAATGTTATAACTTTAAAGTCATAATTGTGTCTGTGATGATAAAAGTCACTCCAAGATTTGGAAGAAAAAAGAATTGAACAATCTCATTGATCAAATCCCATTGTTCGAATGTGATTTGTTAATTCTTGGTCTGTCCAAGATCTCAGAATGATTTTTAGCATTGTGGACACTTTTTTAAATCAAGATTTTTTTCAAGTTAAATGTCTATTTAAATCTAAAAGTTTCATGAAAGAAAATATTAAAGTATCAAATTATAATAAAACAATAACAGCTTTATAAAAAAAGTTATTTGATGAATTAAGCTATGAACACACAAGTGAGATTCTATTCATTTCCTATAATTGTATGAACATGTGTGTCTGTGTGTGTGTGTGTATGTATGTGCAAAAATTATAGACTTTAAACAAAATTTTAATTTCAGATGTTATCAAAATATTTATATATTGAAAATTAAGAAGTTATCAGAGTTATCATTCTTTCATGTGGATTTTGAATATAAATCTAATGTTCTAATCTCTAATGTGTCATACGGTCGCTTATTTGTATGCAGCTTAAACGAGAAGGGAAGAAGTTTTATAAACCTGAGTTCCCACCGGCATAAATACCGGTGTATCCACATGATGATGAACAAGTGTCATCCTACCAGTTCTGGCTTTTGTGGTTTCACATTCAGCAAGCACTTCGAATATTAACGGAGTCTTCCGATTTGCCATTTCTATTGGCGATCTACCGAAGCCTACGTTTATTGTCGTAGAATACGACTTTGAAAAAAATCTGCTAGACATAGAAAGAAAAATCTATAAACGCCGCATGCTGAAAATGAAAGGTTATATCACGATATCATCCTCTCCACGTGTCTTCGTCCCGGTCTGAAATGCACGCGTGGACGTGTACTTACGGGACACCGTGTATATTAATGTGCGTGTAAATAGAATTGCTATAAGCTAACTGCTTCTGACCGCGTCGTACATTCGAATTGAGAGGTATATATCCGACAATTGGAATTACCAGTGGTACGCTTTGCAGATGTTTGCACTATGACGGCTTGGCGCGGTGTTGATACACAAAACATCACCTCTAGGAGAAATTTGCTTCGCGATAGTATTCGACGATAACGGTTAGCTGGCAGACATGAAGACCGAGGTATCCTGGAAGCGGCGGCTTCTGCGAAAGAGAATCAAGTATATGCTGATATGCGTTTTCGTGGTCGCGGTGATATTTGTGGTCCATCAGCTGTTCTACTTCAAAGAGCTGAACCAGGATATCGTAGGCAAGTTGATTGCCGGCTCGGTGAAAGACACCCACCGTGTGGTTGTTGGTAAGCAGGTCGACAAATGGAATCAACCCTACCATTCAAAACTCATTCGCGACACGAATGGTCGAACGGTGTCGTTGCGTGGTACACGGGATCAGGATATAGCCAAGTATCTCCCCAACATCAACGGAAAATTTGTATGTTTTGTTTCAAAGAGGGAAATTGATTTTTTAAAAATTAACGATGATTATTGTGACTGTCCAATGGACGGTAGTGATGAACCAGGTACTAATGCCTGCAACAATGGTTTCTTTAATTGCGACAAGAGTACAGGAAAGTCAGCAGGTATTGTAGTCAAATCTCTTTGCAATGTATAAAATTTGCAATGTTAGAATCTACAGGATTGAAGTTTATTTATAAATTCCTATAAATTTACAGTAAGAATACCATCGTACAAAGTCAATGATGGATATTGTGATTGTTGTGATGGTTCTGATGAATGGGCTGAAGCTGCAGTGTTATATAAACTCAGTAGTAAGTTCAATTTATTTATGTGAATAAAATAATTATAATATCTATTACAGGGTGAGACATCTAAAACAGACTACTTATAATAACTTACTTTGAAACCATTTTCTTCTGAAACATTTTTTTTGTATCATCAAAAATAAGCGAGTTATTCAGGTGGCCTGTTTTGGATGTCTCACCCTGTATATTTGCTAATTTATACTGTTATTTATTTTTTTACATTTATTACAGAATTTAAAGTAACTTTTTATGGACCTAAATGTCCAAACAAATGTTAGTGAAGAAAGTGAGATATAAGATATCAGATTGGAAAAAAAGTGCTTCTGAATTTATGCATCATAATAAGAATGACAACAACCAAATATACATAATAGATAAATGCTTAGAATATTTTTATCATTTAGATATTCATAAAAATATATTTATTTAGTCACACATAAAACAAAGTTCATATAGTGAAAATGATCATTCAATACTGTAAAAAAGAATGATATATATGAGATTCTTTAGGTTAAGAAATTATTTTTAAACTTAATGTTAAGAAATTTTTATCAATGAATCAATTTTTTCTTAGTTTTAACATTGTAATACTAATTAATTGTAAGAAAAGATTATACAATTTTATATTTTTCTTTCATTTAAATGAAATTGAAAGAAACAATTTATTAATATATTTAAATGTCATTATAAAGAACAAAAAGCATTAGATTTAAGAAAGTATATTTGAGTAAGTAAATAAATATAATACAAGTTTATTCTCCAAACTCGTAGAATATTACATTTATTTATGATGAATAGATATCTTAAAGATTAATGTAATAAGAACTATAACTATATAGACAAAGATAGTCTTTACATAAATATTTCTTTGTCATAATATTGTATACTATCTCTCTATAGTTTATATATTATTTTACTATATGTATTTTTTGTATATATATATATGTATATGTATTTTTATTTTTTGCTTTATATTAATAGATAGCAATTATTACTAATAATTAAAACTGAAGAAAAAGTATGATATGTATAAAAAGAAAAAACAATAACATATCATATTTTCTCAAATTGTTAAATAAAATAAACACATTTATATTTATATAGTTTTTATTAGTTTTAATTAGTGATTATTCATAAAGATATTATACATATCACATAAGCATCAAAACAATATAATAAAAAATTGTACAACGCAATAATATATTGTATATAAATTTACAGTTTATATTCAAGATTTCTATTATAGGACTAGAGAGAGATTAAGAGTATATTATTAAAATAAATAATCATTATGTATACATTGCAAAAATAGATTCTGTTAACTTTTTTGTATAAATTATGAAATAGTTCGCAATACTAAAATATCAATTAATACTGTTGACAAGATCATATTTTTTTACATGACTTTATACTTTAATTTGATTCTGATGTAAATGTAAAGAAATTGCGATCTATTTTATGATTCATAGACAAGTGCTCGATTATACTATAAATTTAAAGAAGATGGTTTTACTGCACGTTATTTCTGATATCTGTAAGAACATTGAAATGTGATGAGAGGCTTGGCGCTTCGTCACCAAAATGTAAAGTTTGTTGTACAGATACTCCCATTCTTTGTAAGATATCATTGAAGCACATTTCTTCCATCTGAATCCATGGTCGGTGTTTGTCTTGCATTTGATATGGCGTAACGTGGATGTGAGTATTTATTCCTGAAGAAAATATTTAATCGCATTATATAAAAATAACAGAAAATCTCACTACTTTCAGATATTTCCAAATTATCTCACTTAATTTAGCAAAGGAACGAAGTATATCTTTATCTGTAATCCATGTATTTTTAGAACCATTGTGTCCGCCATCTAGCCACCACATATCCTTAATAAGTTTGATAAAATTATTTATATTAGGATCGTTATTTGAGTCATTATTGTAATGATGAAATTCATAAAGAAATTGATTCAAAACTGCACATCCCTTACTAAAGCCCATTAGACTTAAGTTTGTAGCTTCGATATTATGGATATCAGTATCCTTAAAAAATATTAAAATATTATATATTCAGTAGATCAATGTTATACTAGATGCATGCAATGTATTATATCTTTTAAGAACATTGTCAAGGTGCAAGTTCTAAATACAGTTATACATTAAAGTTGGAGCAATAGTTATTAATATGATTTATAAAATATTTTATGAATTATGATTCCTTTCTCTGATACCTACTTTTCCAATTTTTAATGTTTTAACATGTTCTAGGCAACAAGTAATGAGATCTTTTAAATGCCTTAAAGCATTGTACATTGGACAAAATGTGGGTGTGCCATATGTATCTCCTGATACAAAATTATCAAAACAACTGAATACTGCGTGTTTAGTTATTGTCATCCTAAAACAAGTACATAGTTCTTGTGTACTAAGCAGTACTAAGTAGTTCGATCTATCATAAATGTAGCAGTCAAGAGAATCACTTGGAAATCTTTTAATCTGTACTATATATAATTTTTATTATGGAGTACCTACAAGAAGTTATATGTATCACTCAGAGATGTTTACAAATGTAAAATTTCTGTGTACAGCATTATGATAATATTTTACCTTGATGGACGGACAACAAATACATGACTTCCAGGAAATTGTTCAGATAGTATAGTCACTGTGTTTTCTAAGCTCCATTTTGCATATTTCTTGCTATCCGAATGTTTTTCCATGTTTTCTTGAATATCCTGTAATAATTTTTAATAATTTTGTTAATATGTTATTATAAAATCAATATAAATAGATAATACTAACAAGAATCGCTAGGTATATAAAAGATATGTATATATACACAAATAATTCTAAAATATAATATTTTATATGTTCTACATAATTATTATCTTTAGTGCAATACATTTTTTACATTATATTTGAAAGAATTATTACATAATTTTTAAAAAAAGAAGGAGAACTTGCAAATAATTTCGAACGTACATACTTGAACGTCGCCGCCAAAAAATATAAGAAGATCGCGCGTTGAATGCAATTTCGGTAGTGTATAAACTACATCGTTGCATCGACCTGAAATGCCTGGTATGTTTTTCCATATCCAAACTTTCGAATTCATCGGTCGCTATCTGCAAGAAGAAATCAAAACGAAGTCGACGTCTTTGGTAAAATGGAGAATATTGCGCTTAACAGTCTGATAATTAAAGCAAATTATTGATTAAAATGTCATTGTAAATCGATCGTGTAAACAATTGTACAAAATGATGTACAAACTTATGTACGAAATTGTGTCGTAACGACGGAGCTGTGAGGTCAATTTGTTTTGGTTTGTGTTTTCCTGCACTTTTTGTATTCAAAGTGATAGATGTGATTGATTTATACATACAATTATACGAAAGAAGAACAGTACAAAGTAGTAATCGCGAGAGAAATGTGTATTAATTTTTTCTCTTTAGATGCGCTTTATATGATTCATTTTTTCTTTTTTAAAAGTAAATTATATTGTAAATTTGTTTTGTTTTGAATATGAGAAATACAGAAAGTACAACTTGGTGCAACCAAGTATGATACTTCACGAAGATGTGACGGCAATAGTACCTTTTCTTTTGTTTACGCTTAACACATGATCAAAACTGACGCTTGATATTTGTCAATTTTTATCACGCGACCTAATTTGATTCAAAACATAATGGCCTGGTTTACATCGTGCACTTGATACGCGTACTAACTAGTTACTTTTTATTAAATTATCTTAATTTCAGCAATGTATTTAAAGAATGATGTATAAAATTGATACAATACCCATCAAAATGTTTAACTAAATACGTTTATTGTGTATACATTTACATATATCGCTGAAATTAAGATAATTTAATAGAAAGTAACCAGTTAGTACGCGTATCTAGAGTCCTAGATATCAGAGAAGCGCAACCGATGTTCCGCGTCCTGATTAGCTGACTGTCAGCCAATCATGACATTCATTCAGTGGTATTAAAAATGGCTGACTAATAGACGATTGGTGGATTTCATATTTCGTCTGCAAAAGACGCCATTTTTAATACTTTTCTTAGTAATTTTGCGATACTGACTTAAGCCGGTTGCGCTTCTCTGATATCTAGGACTCTACGCGTATCAAGTGCACGATGTAAACCAGGCCAATGGATCAACCAATCAGCTCTTCTTCCATGAAATAGAAGAAAAGGAAGGATTCTGATTGGTTAGCCCGGATCCTCATACGGGCAACAGCGCTTTGACACGCTGATTGATGAAAAACCGGTGGCGAGGGTAAAATTTACTCCCATAACCCGTTTTTCACCAATCAGCGTCCGGTGTCAAAGCGCTGTTGTCCGTATGAGGATCCGGGCTTACTGCTTTTCCGCTTTCCGCCAAGGTGTGAACCTGCCCATATGGCTCCAGCACACTGGACGCAGAAACGCTTGCCGCGCTGCAAAATGTGACGCGGTAGCCAATGAGCTCACAGCTCCTAACATGTTCATTGGCTACCGGTCATGCCAACTGCACATCAGCGCGATGTTCGACGCGCGATGTCCAATAAGCGTACAGCTTTACCGATGTTCTCATTCTAAAGCTAGATGCTCATTGGATATCGCGTGTCGCGCGCGACGAACATCGCGCTGGTGTGCAGCTGGCATGACACAGTAGCAATGAACATGTTAAGCCGTAATCACACTAGCGATTGCGCGATTGTGATTGACGATTGAGGATTATTTCTCAACCAATCGGAACAAAGCAATCGGTGACTGCTTTGCTCTGATTAGTTGAGAAATAATCCTCAATCGTTGATCACAATTGCTGGGGACCTATTCTGTACACGATTACTGACAACTGTCAGTGTCGTTAAGTAGCGATAGCCAATAAGAATCGCTCTTTTCTCTTAGAACAGTCCATATCATTGGTTATCGCTACTTAACGACACCGACAGTTGTCGGTAAGCGTGTACAGAATAGGCCCCCTGGATTCACACTGCATCCAACTTTCGTCGTACGACGACTTTGCAACCAATCAGAAAAATCGTATCATCTATACGAATCGCGCAATCGCTAGTGTAACGTCCGCCGGTAAAATAATAGCGAACGTACTTCCCCTAGTTTATTGTAAGAGATTGCGCTACTTGTATGTACTTTTCTAAAATAGGACATTCCAGTGAGAATAATATTACTTTGATAATGTAATTTTTATTTGTTATATCATAATTATGCTATATTACCATAAAACAAATGGCCTAACATAATAATTTCTAAATATAGTATGTCATTGTAATGTTCTGCTCACTGAAATATTTTATATTCATACTTTTATAGTTATAATCTTTATGAAATATATATATATATATATATT